CTGATACATGTGCTCATGATCATTTCCATCACTCCGAACTGGCCGTTCGTGCCGTCAAGGAACCGACTGCCGAACGTAATCGCAGGGGCAAGGGCTGCGATGAACCTTACTGCCACAATTAGCCAAGGAGAAACACTAGACTTCCAGAATAACAGCACTTTAGAATAATAGAAAGATTCAAAAAAGGTTTGCATTCTGCAAGAAGGAACAGATACAAAATGGACGATACCGATTTCTGGAAGTTCTCCGGTGTGAAGGCATCCGTCCAATCACTGCAGTACAGCGGTGCTCGCCTGTGGATGTCGAGTCGCAGGCCCCCCGCCAACTTTCCAGTGAAGTCTAAAGGACCGTAGTCCTTCTTCGGGGCATGCGCGATGTTTCCGGACTCGTAGCGGTACACGGCCTCGGCCTCCGCCATGATGAAGTGATGCGGGGCGATTGAAGGAAGCGCAAACAAAGGCTTGTGCCGAAGGACCTATACCAAGGAAGCCGCACAGTTGTTCGGCCGCTCCTGCGGATACGAGTTCAACACGAAATGCTTCGTATATATTTCGACAAAAATGAAAACATCACACACAACTCGTGCCCAATTTATACACGTGATGTTTGGCCTTGTCTCCAGAGGCAAGATGGTCCCTCTTAATTTTAACCGTACCAGTAGCCTTCATCCTGCATGCACACGGGTCGTTTTTTGATGGGGCACGACTGCTACTTCGGCAATTGTCTTGCCCACGAACTGAACCAGTCGGCTTCCCGACTTCATTCACTTCACAAGGCAATCGTCTGGCTTGCAGCTTGCTTAGCTGCCACAACCCAGCCTAGACATCAATCTGGGTGTTGAGATCGTTGGCTACATGAAGAACATCATGCGACGTCTAGATTGGCAAGGCGCGTCGGAATGCATTACGAGCAGACACTTGCATTTCCAGACATCAGCGCAGCACGCTGCTGGTAGAGCATAGCACCAGTCGCAAAGAAAAGCTGGAAACTCCTTCAACATCCAACACTACCCTGCAGAACCACCCGACCACAAATTGCAAGGGTGTGCTGACGGAAAACCTCAACCAATCGAGAAGCAGGGTGAAGCTGTTCACACCCAGCTCAACACGGCGTTCGACGTTTTGCTGATCAAAACAGAAGATGACGAAGCCACCGGCAAACCTTTGCCAACCCAAGCCAGCGCGACCCGGGACGAGCTGAGGCCATCGCTTATCAATGCAAAAAAGTCGCAGCCCGGCACTGAACGGCACGGCAAGCAAATCCAATTTCCTGATCAATATGATCGGACCGCCCACAAGCGTTTTCAACCCAAAAACGATCGCGTCAACCCGATGCTGCGAACCACTGTTGCAAATGTGCACGAATCATGACAGCTATGAGCAGGCTGAGAAGACGACCCTGCATCACCCCCTGTGAGGGGGCAATCCAGCCGCAACTACCATGAGGCCCAATGCAAAACAGCCGCTGGACACAAGAACAGAAACTATGGATCAAGCGGGGAAGCTCCGGAGGGCAAGCCGCCGAGCAACCACAAAGGCCTGTTCGACCAAGGAAAACTAAGGATGGGCGCGGGACAAGCAGGCGAAGGTGGCATGAGAGCCAGACGACCCTACCACAACATGTCGGAGTCAACCCATGACATGCACCAAGAACGGAAGATTTGGCAATGGCCAACTAGGCCCCCTGGCCACAATCTACCCAATCCACAGCCCACAACTGGGCGAAGTTGAGCCACCAGCCGCACAAGATGGAAGCTTGGCAAGCTGACCACCTTCCGGGCACGTGAGAAAAACCCCCTCCCTATGTAATCCCAACAGAATAGACCGCAGGCTGATACACGCACACCGGGAGTGGCAAAATCCGGTGCCGAATCCACTGTTCTTGTTGCTGCTGAGCAACCGAGGCGAAATGGACGGCCGTGCCGCAAACCCAAGCAATCTGGCGACTTTCCAGTCGTTATCATCATGAGCTGGGCCATACATTCAGACGGCTCGGTGTTGCCGATGACAGAAATCGGGGTGAAACTGCGGCCGCTGCAGAGCCAGCTGGCGGATGTCTAAATGGTACTCCTCGCCGCACATCTAAGGTGCCTCCGGCCGTGCTGTGTTTCCGCAAGTGCCGACGGTGACGGTGCTGGTGCTTTCGTCGCACTGAGTGCCTGGATGTGCCTGGTCCGGCCTCGACAGTTTGTCCGTCACTGAGGTTTGACAACCAATGGAAAAAATCTGCCGATCAGGGGTTTGCAGGGATCTCCTGCAAGGACTGTACAAGCCCTTCCTTGGGTCATTCCGAGAACGTTGTTTGAAACGGGGGCGTGTAACCTGTCAGAAAAGGGAAATACAATTCAGCTCACCCCGTGAACCCCCGAGGATGCCGGGCATCCCAAATCAGCCGGACCTGAACCATCGGTAATGTCATGCTTGTCTGCTGCCCCACAAAGCTGGGCCAGGCAGAAAAACGGTGCGCGGATCCAAGACCCTCAACCCTAAACCCTACTTGGGCATGCACTGTCAGGTTGTGCACGCCCGAGGTTGGCTGCTCTGCATGCGCCAGCTCCTGCAAGGCGTCAGGTTACCGTAAGAATTTGTATAGGGGTGACCGTGAGGATTACCAGGCGGGCTACTTTTTGGAGCTAGTCAAGGGGTCGCTATAAGGGTTTCCAACAGAGCTACTAAAAGGGTTGTAGGATTTATGGGCTTGGCGTTGAGAGTTTATTGAGTTCCTAAACTCATGCAGTCTTTAGACCTTAAACTAAATAAAATCTACCTCCCAGATTTCCCCATCACTCCCTAAAGCCTGAACCCCTCAACCTCTGAACCCCGAAACCCTTGGCCCTTGACCCTAGACCCTCATCCCTCGACCGAGTTCAGCCGAACGAAGAAGAAAGGTTTTGCTTGCTGGGCGACGGCTCCTGATGGAAACCAGAGGGGGGTTCAGGGTTTTGGGTTGCTTAATTGAAGGCCTTTCGGCTTTACGATTCAGGGTTTAGGGTTTAGACTTGAAGGGTTTAGAGTTTAGGGTTTAGGATAGCCTGGAAGTGCCCAAAACCAGCCCGTGGACAGGCACGCGCACTCAAGATTCTAATTTCCCATATAAGCCTTATATGCCTCTTATATAGTCTCATTAAGCCCCTATGTAACCCCAAGGGTCCCTTTAAGGGTCCCTCCTCTAGTCCCTTGATCTCAGATGCGAGTTCAAGGCAGAAAACCGGCTGGTCCTCGCTTTGGCAACTGCCCCCCTGCTCGCCAGTGGCACCTTCACCTGGCAGACTGGAAGCCCGTAAAACCCTCACTGGAAGATTGAAGCCCTATCAAGCGCTATAACTCTGAACTAAAGGGTTTAGGGTTTAGGGTTTAGGGTTTATGGTTTAGGTAAAGCCCCCACAATAGTGTAGGTAATTCTCTAGACCCCTTATTACCTCTCACCCCATGTACTAAGTGCCCCGGTCTGCCAGACAAGCACCGTTAAACTCAAGACTATCGGGGCCTTAGCAAGTAGAATAGGGTTTTAGGGTTACTTTCAAGGGTTCTATAAGGGTTGCTATAAGGGTTTAGGGTTTTAGGGTTCCTTTCAAGGGTTCTACAAGGGTTCTATAAGGGCTGCTATAAGGGTTTTTGGGGTTCCTTTCAAGGGTTCTATAAGGGCTGCTATAAGGATTTTTGGGGTTTAGGGGCCTTAATAGTTAAAATAGGTTTTGGGTCGGATTGTACTATAATGATACTAAGGAACCCCCGAAATGGTATTGGTAAATATTTATTACTGAGAACTGTTGCTTCGGTCCCTTTAGGGCGCCCTGTGCGAGTCCAAAACTCATTAGCCTCAACCCGAAGCAAGAAGTAGGTCTCCAGGGTTTAGGGTTTAGGGCTTAGGGTCTCTACAGCCCTGAACCGTCATAAAACCTTGTTAGGAGCCCCTTTAACCCTGCAAAAAATGAAATCCTTGCCTCCTGTCTTATCTTACCCTCAGAGCCTTTTCTCAAGGCCCCCGAAACCCGGAACCCAGAGACCCTCCACCGTGGGACCTTCACCGCCATAGTGCCAAAAAATCGGAAACCTAGAACCCAAAAACACCTCTAAGTGCAAGTCACAGCAGCCGAGGTGCGGTATACTATAACTTATAACTGCAAAACCAAAGAACAACCTAGATTGAGGCACCTAGACATGAGGTAGCGAGGATCACGGGGCCGCTTCGTCAGACACTGTTTGGGTTGTCGGGAAGTATAAACTACAAAGCACAAAGATACGGGGTAGAGGGCCCCTAAGACGGACCCAAAATGTAGAGAACTACCCATATCTGTGTGGGCTGGAAGCTGGAAACTTAGCCAACAGTTGGGGCTCATGGGGCTCTTGAAGGTTGTTTTGGGGGTTTAGGGTTTGGGGTTTGGGGTTTAGGGTTTAGCGGTCCAAACACACTAAAATCCCAAAAAGGGGGCCTGCTGCCGCTGCCACGGCCACGGCTGCCGCCTCGAGCGCAACTGGTGGCGGAGAAAGGGGCCTCGGACTTTAGGGCTTTGGGGTTTTGGGGTTTTGGGGTAGGGTTTAGGGTTTAGGGTTTCGGGGTTTCGGGGTTTTGGGGTTTAGG